ACTCTTTCCTCTTACCATTTGAACTTTTAAAGATATTCTCACAAGTATTAAATTCTAATCAAACATGTTTATGAATTTACCTATAAATAACATTTTTGGTTTTTTAGAGGTTTCTAGTTGGGCTTTTTGCCCTTGTATTCTTAGAAAAAAAAATATTACATTTTTGGTCAGAGAAATCCCTGAAATGTCAAAATATTACCTTGGTAGAGATGCAACTTGAAAGGTTAACCACACTGGATCTGCTAATTTGCTTAACAATGGTTGGTAAGTTTCCTAGTTGTGTTTGAGAATGTGAATAAATTCTCGTGTCAAATTAGTTAAGTTTTGTGATCAGCACATTGTTTATGATCACTTACGTAACATATATACTTTAAAAGAACTCGTGCCTTTGCTGGACACATTTTGGGCACTTGTGTAGATGTGAATGTGCCGCACTATTTAAGTCTTTCCATGTATATTGTAGCTCACTTTGTTTTAGTTCCTAATATTGTATGTTTATATCTGACACATCAATGTTGCATTTTTTTTTAACAAAATTATAATAATAATAATGAAAGTTTGAAATGATGTTGTCAGTATATCTTTCTTATTGCTGAGTTAATTGTTTGTTTTAGGTTGTTGGTGCCTTTTGGTACTTGTTTTCCATAGAACGAGAAACCACATGTTGGCAAGAAGCATGTCGAAGTAATACACTGTGTAACAAGGCAGATATGTATTGTAATGATTATTGGGGTGGGTTGAGCAAAATTTCGACATTCCTGAATACTTCTTGCCCAATACAGAATGAAGATAAAAAGCTCTTTGATTTTGGAATATTTCTTGATGCCCTTCAATCCGGTGTTGTGCAGTCAAGAGATTTCCCACAAAAATTCTTTTACTGCTTTTGGTGGGGCCTAAAAAATTTAAGGTGCGCTTCATTGATTCTTTTTCATTAAGGGGTATGAATTTAGATTCGAAGGTAAATCATATTATGTTGCAATATGTTTATGATTGGCTGCTTTATGAGGTTTGGTGCATAATAAGAGTATTTTGTGAACTGTAGCTCTACGAGGATTCTTTATGTCTGCATGCTCATAGCATGTAAATGTTCATGATAGTTCCCTATTATAATGGATGTCTTGTTATTAGGGTTAAAAGTGGTTGGGCACAAATAGTATGTGTAGATAAATAGACAAAAATAAGTTATCTTGTCATGCTCATTTTCTATTGAGAAAGAATAGATCATCAAGTAAATTAAAGCATGTACATGTTAGACAATCTCATTTATTGCTGAAGACTGGAAATTGATTTTCACTTCAGTTTTTATCTGTTTAATGGCTCAATGAAAATGCTGGCTGGGGGGTGGGGCATTCTCAGCCACCATGAGTGTATATATCATTTACATTTTAAAGTTGAGAATATTATTACTAAAGTTATTATCTAATTCTGTAATTGTTCCTCAATTGGGGGAACCGGATGCTTTTATTGCAGTTCTCTTGGTCAGAACCTGGCAACAAGTACCTATGTTTGGGAAATCTGTTTTGCAGTTTTCATTGCTGTTTCTGGATTGGTATTATTTTCATTCCTCATTGGAAACATGCAGGTTTGTACCAAATATCTATAGAAATTCTCGTAATCATGCAATAGAGCTGTCAAGCACTATTTACTAATTTTGGATTTTGTAATACATTGATTGCCAGTGTTGAAATCTGTCCAAAATTTTCTATGGTAGGTTTTTTATTTTTTCACTATTCTTCTATAAGAGTCTGTAATTTATATCTTGCTAGTTGAATTACAGCATTATCATTGCGAGATTTCCTTGGAAATCAACTATCAAACTAATTTTTCTTATCCTTATTTTAATCATACCTAAATTTTTTGGTTCCCTTAGCATTATCTTCACATTTCTACTGTCCTTGTTAAGGTGATTCTGAAGTTAAAGAATTTATATATGTTGGAAAGCTACCTTAATTGTAGCCCCAAGGATGATGATTTAGTTTCACATCAACTTGATATATGACTTAATTAGAGCTTACTTATGAAGTTTGGACAATCCTCATTTTAGGGTTTAGGATTTAGGGATTAGTTAGACCCTAAGTCCAATTTCTAAGAATGGATGGTCATCTTTGTAACTTAAAATAAGTTATGGAAGATAGTGTATTGAGTTTAGTAGAGATAAATTAGTTTGATATGAGTATAAGGGAGCAGAGAAAGAGTTGCTAGAAGTTTTGATTTTCCATGCAAAACTCAATTTATTAATAGAAACCTGAGTCCTTCTGTTATGAGGTTATATTCTTCCTAGGTTTGACCAATTATACCTGTTTTGAAACAGACATATTTGCAGTCAACAACCACAAGATTGGAGGAGATGAGAGTTAAAAGGAGGGATGCAGAACAGTGGATGTCCCATCGATTGCTTCCTGACAGCTTACGTGAGCGAATCAGACGATATGAACAGTACAGATGGCAAGAAACCAGAGGCGTAGATGAAGACAATTTGATTAGTAATCTTCCCAAGGATTTAAGAAGGGACATTAAGCGTCATCTTTGTTTGGCTTTGCTGATGAGAGTAAAGTCCCCTTGCCCCCTTGATGGATTTATTTAAGCATGTCTATTTTTTGATTGTTGAGCATTTAATTAGTTTTGCCAAATATAACAAAAATGCTGCTTTAGAAAATTCAATCTCCTGGACTTCTGCTTTAGGTCATAGTGTAATACAAGTCCGGTGCTAAAGCATAAAGCAGCATGCAAATCTTTTCTTTGTTTGAACATGTGCTTTACGTTTGAACACTTATAAATGATGACGTTAATGTTTTAATCAGTACTTATTCTCTTCATTTTGGTAATGTATTGCTACTCTTATGTGCTTTCAATGACATTACTATTGGAAAAATCAAAAGCTGTAGTTGATTTCCAGTCTAATATTATCAATAACCAACCAAATATTTTCTCTTGTATGAACTTAAGGTGCCAATGTTTGAGAAAATGGATGATCAACTTCTGGATGCAATGTGTGACCGTCTCAAGCCAGTGCTCTACACAGAAGAAAGCTACATTGTACGGGAAGGAGATCCGGTCGATGAGATGCTCTTCATCATGCGTGGCAAGCTGCTGACGATGACCACTAATGGCGGAAGAACCGGCTTCTTCAACTCTGAGTACCTCAAGGCTGGTGACTTCTGTGGAGAGGAGCTTCTCACATGGGCCTTAGATCCTCATTCCTCATCCAACCTTCCCACCTCAACCAGGACTGTGCAAACCCTTTCAGAAGTGGAAGCCTTTGCCCTGAAAGCCGATGACTTGAAGTTCGTGGCGTCGCAGTTCCGGCGCCTCCACAGTAAACAGCTGCGGCACACTTTCAGGTTCTACTCGCAGCAATGGCGCACGTGGGCTGCATGTTTCATACAAGCAGCATGGCGACGCTATAGTAAAAAGAAGCTTGAAGAGTCTCTGGTTGAAGAGGAGAATAGGCTGCAAGATGCATTGGCCAAAGCAGGTGGTAGCTCACCAAGCCTTGGTGCAACAATATATGCTTCAAGGTTTGCTGCTAATGCACTTAGATTGTTACGTCGTAATGGAACAAAGAAGGGTAGGGTGCCTGAGAGATTACCACCCATGCTGCCTCAGAAGCCTGCAGAACCTGATTTTACTGCTGATGAGGAATAGAGGCTGTGACTGTGAGTGATGATTGGTAGAATTTTGAGGTGTATAATAATATGGCGTCCATTAATTCAGGCAAGTTGTATATATAATATCTTGTTATTGAACGCTTTTTAATATAGTTTTTGCTTTCTATTTATTCTTCCCTTTCTCCATTGTATTTGGTTGTTTTGAGTCATCGAGGCTCATGATTGGAGTCTAGAAATCGTATATATTCAGGAAGTTCTTTAATTGGGAAGCATGGAGATGATCAGAGAATCTACATTCATCATACTTATTTTAGTTGTTTTAAACTACTTTTTATGGGCCTCATCAAAACACCTTATCTTTTTGCTTATTTTGTACAACTTCAGCAACTTTTCTGTGATGGAATTTTAAAAAATTACTAAATTGGTCTTTTAGTTCTCCTTCCACCCCCCATATTTTTTAGTTTTTATTTTACTTTTATTTTAATTTTGATACTAAAATGAAAATATATAATACATTTTAAGTGTCATAATTTATTTCTGCTTTTTATAAAATATTTTATTTCAGAAAATCTAAATTTTCTAAAATATAACTGTTTTTTTTATTAATTAATTTATATCAAAAGCTTTGAAATACTTAACATTTTATAATGGCTTAAATACAATATTTTGTTTTCAAATGTTGAACCGTTAAAGATCCAATGAGCGGAAGTGCAAAGAACTGCAATAAAAAGTACAATATAATGAATTATGTTGTAAACCATAAATGATTATGCAATATTGTTCTTGAACCCACACCAACACACATTGTTATCCCTTCCTCACACAAATTACATACAGACAAATTCAAGGATTAAATAAGTTTTTAATCTCTCAATTATTCTTTATTAATTTTTTTGTCACATTATTTTTTAAGGTTAAGTCTCTTGTGTTAAATGTTGATGTATATCGATAAATTATGGTTAGTTTGACTATTAATGTTTATATGACTATCTAGTAGATACTAAATCATAGATATGTGTAATTTTTCTATTTATTCACGAATAGACATTATTTTTGAAAATAAAAGACATTATTAAAACAATTTTTAGTCTTTGTAAAATATTTTTGGTCATTATAAAATGAGTAAATTATATATATATATATATATATATTATTTTCATCACTTTAAAATCTAAAATCAATATTTTTAGTCCCTAATAATAATTTCAAGGTAAATAAATAATCTTGGTATTATGGATCTATACAAATTTAGGGGTGTCACATATTAACATGATGTCACTATTAATTATAGAAAATACTTAAGATAATCACTTAACCTTTTAATAAACAATAAAATAACTAAAAATAATTAAATAACAACATGGAATAAAAACAATCATTCTAAATTTTAGAGGGATGAAAAATAAAGAAAATAATTATAGGGCTAAAATCAAAATTTGATCATTTTACAAGAACTAAAAATATATTTAAGTAAATTTATTATTATTATAAGTTATTTGTTTATAATTCTTAAATTAAATTATATGAAGAATCATCCGTTTATTTTAGGAGTAAGTTTACCTAGACTTATTCTATTCAATAACTTATATTTTATATTAAAACAATCCAACTGTTGAATTTAAATTTTTTATTACATATAGATTAAGTCTACAAATTTTTAACAAATTTGAAGACCATTTGATACTTTGTTTCATTAATTCAAATCAACATATAAAATAATTTTATGATTATCCATCAATTTGAATAATGAAACGAAATATCAAATAGTTCTCAAATTTTTTAAAAAATTGTAGACTTGATCTATGTATTAAGAACTTTAAATTCAGCGGTTGAATCGTTGAAATTTGAGGTAAAACATAAGTTATTAAACGAAGTAAGTTTAAGTAGATTTATTTCTAGAGTAAATTGACCCATAAATTCTCTTTATCTTTTATATATATATATATATATATATATGGATGACAACAGGGCGGATAGGGATATGAGTTTCTCTATCCCTATTTCTTTATCCTATACTCATTCTCGTTTCCATACCTGTCGGGGTTAAAATTTTTGTCCCCATCCTTGTACTCCCCAAATATACTCGTACTTGTTCTCTATCTGTCTAAAAATAATTAAATATTATTATTTTTCAAAAATATAAAAAATAAGAATTTCAACATAGAATAGCAATTACAAAACTACATTAATTAAATTTTATTTGACATAAATTAAATATAGAGTAATAATTACATAAATATTAAGTAAATTTTTTTAAAAATAGATTAAGCATCTAAAAATTTAAAATGAGTACGCGGGTACAAGATGACATGTATATACCCATTCTCATCTTCGTACTTGATTTAATAAGTTGGATATTACCCATATCCTTACTCGTACTTGGTTAAACTAGATATTTTTCGTCAAAATCGAGACAGGTTCAGACATTACTCACAGGTAAAAGTTTACATGTCATCCCTCCCCCCCCTCTCTCTCTCTATATATATATGTATATATATATATACACACATAAAGTATTATTAATATGATTAATTGATAATTTACTATTAATAATATAATTAATATTTTGATATATTATAAAATACATAGTTTTTATAATTTTTTAAATTTATGCAATTGAGCTATTTAAGTTATATATAATAATTTTAAATAAATAAAATATATATTATTAGTATTAATAATAATATTATTACTATTATTAGTATATTTATAATAAATTAATAATGTAATAATAAGAAATATATCATACAAATAAATTTTAATGATAAAATAGGTAAATTATATACGCAATATTTATATCATATATTTTTAATTCACCTTTTTCTTATATATTTATATTTATACTCAATATAAATATAATTGTTAATTAGGAATTATATATGATATACTAATGGTACTTATAATATTATTAATAATTAATATTAGTTTTAATTTATCAATTATATTATGAAAACTAATAATATATACACTTGTTTTTTAATTTTATTTAGTGGTAGTAAATATGTGTGCAATTTGATTCGTATCGAAAAATAAATTATATTTTTCATTAATATATTAAGGAAATTTATTAATTTAGTGGTTAAGTGTCAGATCTTAAATATCATGATTAGAGTGAAAAAATTACATAATCAATCAGAAATTACAAATTATATAACTTTTATGATAATCATAGTAAAATTTAACAAATTTATCATTTATAGTAAATTATGATTGGATAATAGTGTAAAACTATTTTTCATTATTAATATATTACTATTAAACTTTACTTGTAGTTATTATTAAAGATAAGGGTTATATATAGGTTTTAATCTCATATATAAATATTTTGATAATATTTTTCTTATTTTCACACATGATATTATCATCTCATATCACTTAATAAATCACTCTTCACATCATCACTTAATAAATTACTCTTTGCATTATCTGTCACCTTGTTTAACATAAATAATCACTAAAATTTTAATGAGAAGATTTAAAACAACACAATTACAGTTCTTAAATAAAAATTTGAAAAATTAAAATTGTACTGGCAAGGCCTTTCGGCCACCATTTGACCGATACCCGATCGACACCTAAAGGGCCGAACCAGGTTGCCGACATCCAATCGGCACCCAAAGGGCCGAACCAGGTTGCCGACGGCTGATCGGCCATTGGATACCTAGTGAATGTGAATTATCATTAATCAAGGGACAAGAGTCATCCTTAATCAAGGGTTAAGAGTTAATCACACTAATAAGCCGATTAGAGGCGTATTACCTAATATGGTAATCTTGTGCAGGGCCCATGGGAATCCGGGCATGTCTGCCTTGAGGATTGACATTCTTGATCTTAGTTGTATAATATTGATTCATTTGGTATTAATTCATCTATGTGTGAGATTGTTGACCTTGTACCTGAACATGAAATTGACATTTTTGACATTGTAATTAAGTTTATCATTGTTGACTCTGATTGTACTTGTGATGATTCTATTATGTGTGCTATATGTGCAAAGATTAGTATTGTTATTGCAGGTAAAAAAGATGCCATAATATCATATGTTTCACTAGCAGATGTAGTTGCAACAGTGGATGTTCAATCAGTAGAAGAGCCTCCATTTCCAACCTTTATCCTTAGAGCTTAAACTTTAATCTTCATTTGATTTATGTTTATAGAGTTTGCCTAAGATGTTACATAGGTGCATTGAAACTAACCTTGTGCTAAATTTTGAAAATTTACATTTTATGGTAATAGAAAGTATAATTTTAGAGCATTTAGTATCTACTATAGTCATGAAGGTTATTAGGAATAATATTCATGTTTTTGCTTCTCTACCTTACCCCATATCTATGCAGCAAAAACATCTTTTTGTTGGACATGCAAGTTTTTACATAAAGAAGGTCATTTAGATTTCCCCAAATTATCATTGCCATTATCCAAGCATCTAAAGTGAAGGAACAAGTGGAAGAGAAAATAGAGGATCTTCCTTTAGTCAAATCAAGAAAAATATCATGCAAATTATCTTCCTTTAATTTATTTTACACTTGTATTTTTTGTAGCATTATATGCTTCTTATGGAGCATTTTATGCTTACATTGGAGACAAAGCAAATTTCAAGTGTAGAGGGGGATGCAGAGGATCTCTCATTGATCAAGTTACTATGAGGGAGTTTTACCCCCTTTTTATTTTAATGTATATTGCTTAAATTGTTGAATTTATTTTTACATTGAGAACAATATGAATTTTAAGTGTGGGGGAAGATTGCAAGTTCAAAAAATAAATTTTGTTTCTATTTTTCTTTTGTTTTCTATTTTTAGTTTTTAGTAAAAGAAATTACTATTTTATGTATTCTATTCTATATATTTCTATATCTGTATCAATTTTTGTTTGTTGTATCAGTTTTTTCGTTTCTATTTTTGATTGTCATTTTTGTATCAATTTTCTTTTTTTTTTTTGTTTTTGTTTTTTGTTTCTATTTTTTATTCTATTTTTATTTCTGTATTCTATTTATATTTTTGTATTCTATTCTTGTTTTTATATTTTGTTTCTATTTTTTCTTGCTATTTTTGTTTTAGTTATAATGGCTATTTTTGTATTTTTACTATTTTTGTTTTGTTATTTCTGTATATTTGTTGTTTTTATTTGTAAAAAAAAACGAAAAAAAGTGAGTAAAAACATAAATTTTCATACTTTCTTTTGAATTTCTAAATGTATGAATCGTGAAAGTTGTTACATAAATTTTAATTGATAAGTTACAATACTTGATATGAATCGTTTTTACATTTTTGGTATAGTAAGTTGGTTGAAAAATTAAAGTCTGGTTCATTAGTG